CGGGAGCGCCGGCTGGGGGCAGCCCGCCGCCTTCCTTCTGCCACCCTAGGCCCCCGTCGTATTCCCTGTGCCCCCCATTTCCACACGGAATCCCGTGCAGGGTTGGGCTGGAGAAGCACTTCCTCTCGGCCGCGCAACTTAGCTGTCTGTCGGCTCCCAGGATTTGCCTTGGGGCCTGTTCACAAAGCGTATAAAAGTTGAATTTAATGCCATTGGGCTTAACTGCACTAAGACTTCCTCTTGCCTCCTGGGCTCTTTCCCCTTCCTCATTCTTTCCACACCCCTCTCCCGAGCGTAGTATTAATGTTTTCCTTTAGAGTGATTCCCTGTGGAGTGTTTTCCTGCAGTTATTGTTTGCTGCAATGGGAAGTGCAGGTCAGTCATGCACGTTAGAGCGTGTTTACCCAGGTATCTTGGATGATGAGTTTTATTATGTCCTGACAGTTGCAAGTACTACACTTCCATTTTAAGATTTAGAGAGGTCTTTAAAAGAGTAATCTTTAACTTAATAAGAAGTAGTTCCTAAATTTTTAATTCGATGTGTACCAAGCATGGACTCGCATGATATAAATGTGAAATGTTTTCCACAAGCAATAACTAGTAGATATTAGGGGTTTTTTGTTAGTTGTACAGCTTTATGGGGAGAAAATTCGTGAGCTGTACACTAAATCCAGTTGCAGTGTTAAAATACAGTGGTTTTAAGTGTTTACTGAGGTGTGGAATCAGTTTCAGAGCACTTATCTCAGAAACTCATTAGCAGTTAGACCTCATTTTTTCTTCTTCCTACTCTTGACAACTACCGATCTTATTTTCTGTCATTATCTGTATGTCTGTTCTGAACATTTCATGTAAGTGGACTCTCATAATTAATATGTGGTCTTTTGTGACTGCTTCTTTCACTTAATATGTTTTCAGGATTTATCCATGTTGTAGCATGAACCAGGACTTCATTCTTTTTTATTACTGAGTAATATTCCATTACATGCAATTGTTGTTAGGTGCCATCAGTCGGCTGTGACCCACAGCGACCCTATGTACAGCAGCTCTGAATTCTTCCCTGTACTGAGCCAGTCTCACACACCAACTCCCATTACCCCAGTTACCTGTATCAAACCATTTCATCGAGGTCTTCCTCTCCTGCACTCTCTCTCCATCCCTCCGATCATGATGTCCATGGAACATTTTCTTTATTCTTTCATCAGTTGATGGACATTTTTTAACGGATAGAAATAAAGCTACTTTTGACATTTGTCAACAAGGCTTGGGTCATGGTTTTATTTCTTTGCACTGTATAGTAAGGAGTTATCTGGTAGATCATGTATTTACATTTAGATCTATGTTTAATGATTTGAAAAACTGCCACATTGTTTTCTAAAGTGGCTGCACTCTTTTACAGTTCCACCAGCAATGTCTGAGAGTTCCAATAATTTTCCATAGTAGGTATTTTAGTGAGTGTGTGGTAGTGGATCCTCGTAGTTATGACTTGCAATTCTCTGATGACTAAAGATGTTGAGCATTTTTTTTCTTGTGTATGTTGCCTGCTTTTATAAGTACATAATTTGCACATATATATTTTCCTTGGTTTGAGAATTATCTCATCACTTTTAAAATGGTACATTTTGAAGCACAAGTTTTAATTTTGATGCAATCCAATTTATCTTTTTTTAATCATGTATGTATTCTTTAAATAATTTTTTTGTTTTGTTAGTAAAACATGCCACCAGTTTCTGCATGCCCATTTCAGTGACATTGATTACATTCTTTGAATTGTGCAACTATTTTCACATTCCTTTTTTAAGTTCTTCTCATATTAACTTGAACTCATTGCCCCTAAATTTTTTGCCTAATCTTTGAGTTACTATTGTCAATTTGATCCTATAAAAATAGATATCATTTGTGTTTTTGTTTTCCTAAAGAAAAGTCTTTGCCTAACTCAGGATTTCATTAGACAGGGACATCATGCTGGGGAAGGTAGAAGGATGGCAAAGGAGAAGATGACCCTCAACCAAGAGGATTGACATAGTGACTGCAGCAGTGGGCTTCAGGGTATCAGAAAGATGGCATAGGATAGGTTCAGATCTGTGGTTCATAGGGTCACTGTGCTAGACTCAGTGGCACCTAACAACAATAACAACAATCACAACAACAAACAAAGATTACAGAGATTTACTACTTTGTTTTCCTATGCATCTTTTAAATAATTTTAGCTTTTCTGTTTAGGTTTATGAACCAAATGAAGTTAATTTTTGTGTATATTGCATGGAAGGGGTTATAAGTTAATTATTTTGTATGACTATCCAGTGGTCTGTACATTACTGTACAGAGGTAACTTGTGGTTGCTGTGATGCTAAACACTGTGACACTGATGTGCCAAATGTGATAATGGTTACCTAGGGTGCACAGTGTTTGGTGGAGCTCCCCGATTAAAATAAGCTTGGAAAGAGGAGTGGCATCCACTACCGAAATGGCTTGCCTCCGGAAACTCTATGAACCGTGCTCAGGTATTTCGTTCCTTGGGTCGCTGTGAGTCATCTACGACTTGATGGCACCTAACAACAACAACATCCAGTTGTCACAGCATCATTTGTTGAAGACTCACTCTATTTTTGTTGAAAATACATTCCTGGATTCTCAATCCTTTCTATTCTCTGTCTTCACTGTAGTACCACACTGTTTTGATTATTGTAGCTTTGTAGTACATTTTGAATTTGGGAAGTATACATCTGCCAGCTTGGATCTTTTTCAAGATTATTTTGACTCTTGTGGGTCCCTTACACTTCTATATGAATTTAAGGTTTGCTTTGCCTGTTTCTTCCATTAGATTTTTCAATGGCAATTAAAACTTTTTTAAAATAAAGATCATTTACTATAAGAAAATTGACATTCTTAAACATTTTTTGATTCATGAATATATTTTTGACTTTTGCTAACATACTTACAAATGACATTTTGAAATTATGTTTTGTTTTTTGTTAATTACACTTTAAATATAACCTCGTGTGTTTTATTATAATGAATAATGCTTCAGTGAACATTTTAAACAAGTTTTCTATTTCTCTGTTGGTAAAGGAATGAAATCTGATTTTTCAGTATGTGCCTTCATGTTCATGGAATACTGTTTTGTAACAATTTGAGTATAAATAATAAAATAAACTATTTTATTTTACTGTCCAGCCTGGAATTAGGACTGAAATCTCTAAATTGGAGTTAAAAATTCCTAACTTAACCAACTTCTGAGAATTTGGTAGTTGTCTGTCTAAAATAACTTGAAATTTACATATTTAATTTCATTTTTTAAAACAATTCCTTAAAAGAAAAACTGTACAGTATTGATTTCATTTTCCTCTCAGTGTTTATATTGGCACTGTCAAAATGAAGTAAAAATGGAAAGAACCCTTAAAACTTTAGGATTGTAACCGAACAACCATCCCCACAATATATAGTCAAGCCTATTCAATTTGTGTTAAAGTTTAAATTATTCCAGCTGTCGTCAAGCTCTTATAACCTACCCTTTTCTTTATGGTTTTTCTTAATGTACTATGGAAGTTGCATTACCAACACAGAAGCACATCATTCAAATTCATGAGCTGCTCCAAGAGAGTAAGATGGTCATTCTCCTCTTCTGCAGTTTATAGCCTTTGAAAACCACTGGAGGGTCAGCTATGAGTCCTTCAGGCTTGACAAGTACATAACAGCAACAGAAACTATGTACTAAGTTTCAAATCCTTAATCCTTTCAGAAGAGAGAAATGTATTAAAAACTTCCAGCTCAATAAATATGTTGCTGATAAGTCAGTTTTTGTAACAGAGTATCAATGCTATTGACAGTTAAGCTGAAAAAATTTTGTGTTTTCTAATAAAATTGCAAGGGAGCTCTGGTGGATTAGTAGGAAAGGAGTTGTGCTGCTAACTGAACAGCAGCAGACAGGTCAATTCCACCAGCTGCTCCACAGGAGAAAGATTGTCTTCTCCCATGTGATTTATAGCCTCCAAAAATGGGTCAGCTGTGATTGGTTCCAACTCAGTGACATTGAGCAGTAAAAAGAATCTTGAAAGCAGAAGGCGTTTCATATGTAAGAACAATTGCTAGTATTTAAAGAGATTATATAATTTAAGTAAATTATATATTCGAGTTTGAGATTGTGAGGGTGGCCTGGAGTTTCTGATACACTTAGGATCCATTTGAGTTAGAGCTGGCTGTTTACCACCAAGTAGTATCTATTTAGAAAGATTTAAGGATCAACTTGTGGAAATCAACTGCAAGGCAACTCAGCTCAACTCAGCTCTTGTTAGTCTGCAAGAACCAACTCAGCTCATTCTCTACTGGATTTTGTGTTCATATTAAATAGGGTTGACAGCTAAGCTGTGCTCATTCCGTATCTTTTAATCAATTTTTTGAAATTGTTACTTAAATGAAAGTTTACAAAGGTAGTTGGTTTTTCATTCCATCAATCATACACATATTGTTTTAGAACATTAAATTACAAATGCATTGTAATCATACTTTCTTTCCCCATTTCTTCCCCAT